CAGGTCTTAATAAGAGCTTCCATCTAGCTACTCTGCAACGATAACTCAATCTGTGGAGAATCCGTTGAACAGATTTCGGGCTCATCCCACCAACTTTGGCCACTTCTGCAGTCGTTAATATGGGATCCATTTCGATGCTCCTCCTGACAGCCCTTTTTGTCCTCTCCGATGGACCCGGACGCTGCTCAGTTGTTTCCTTGCTGTGTTTCCTGAACTGCACGATGATTATGTTGACTGTCGAAAGTGGGATTCCCAAATTCTGCGAAATTTGCCACTGACTTATTCCACCATTTGCTTGACCAACTATCCTTCCTCTAACAAAATATGACAATTCGAGAGAACCTTGAGTTCTATCGAATTGTAGCACAAGATAATTAGTGTGCGGACCATTTTCATTTATATAGTGCTCTGTGAATACAAATTAGTTAGCATAAATCAGTTAAATGACGAAAAATTAGGTGTCTATTTACTTGTGACCACTCAGTGTATATGTATATAAAAATTAATAAATTACACTTTTGGAGATAAAATACCTTAAAAATTTAGTTTTTTTTAATAGCGACGTTTTGAGCAAACATTCTTTTTCAAGCCAGAACACAGATAGTGATGAACTACTGCAGAATGTTCTGAAATTGAACAATACATGAGAAAAGAATGTAACGCGAGTTAAAAACACGAGAAATAAACAATATCGTGTTGACAATGTAACAAGGCTAAAGAAAACAGTGACAAGGTAATGAAGGAAATATATAATTATACAAATATATAATTAAAAGGTTAATATCAGGAAGTTTAAAAAACTATTAAAAAATCATTTAAAAAAGAAAGAAAATTAATGTTAAAATTTATAAAAAACTGAAACATTTGTTGATACCAGAGGGACTTATACAGCCTAATTTGAAAATTATTTCTTTTTAAATTCTAATTCTTTTAATGGTGTTGGAGGGGGTGTATCTTAGGGCAATTACTCTGAAATTAAGAATGGAATGATTAGCTTTGTTAAAGTGTCGAGTTACAGGTTTATCTTGATCTTTAATCAAAATGCTACACAAGTGTTCTCGTGTGTGTTCAGAGAGCATATGGCTGGTTTCTCCTATATAGATGTGGTCACAGTAGTTACAAATAATACAATAAATTAAACATTTAGATGTACATGTGAAATGGCTATTAACAGTATAGGCTGACTTAGGACCCTTAACAGATGTTCTATGATCGAAGTAAGGGCAAGTGTTGCATCTGCTCCTCTGGCAATTGTACGTACCGATTTCTGTGTGACATGGTTGTTGTATGTTGTTCGGAAGGTGACTGTAGACGAGTATATTTTTAATGTTAGTGTCACATTTATAAGAAATTAGGGGTTTATTAGGAAACATGTGACTGGTGGTACTGTCCTGTGTTAAGATGTGAAAGTTGTCAAGCAATATACGAGTTAGTTGTGTGTTGAATGGGTGAAATGTAAGTGTAAGGGGAATGTTTTTATGATTGGTGGTAGTAGAAGTGTTTTTTGTTGAAGTGAGGTTGGACATATGTTGTAGATATCTCTAAATTTTCCAGCATGTTGGTGTTATAATTACTGAAATAATTTAAGCTGGGCAATCTCTGCAAACTAGAATTTGAACGTTTTTTGTGTTTATGTAGATTATCTTTAGTATGATGAAGAAGAGTAATAGGGTAGCCACATTTTTCGAAAAAATGGAGCATCTTGATGGCTTTACTATTATAATCTATGTCGTTACTACAGAGCCTATGTAATCTGGTGAATTGTGATTTGGAAAGTTCCTCTTAATGTAAGAAGGATGACTGGAGTGGAAATGTCAATAGCTATGTGTATCCGTGGGTTTATAATGTACAGATGTCGCAAGATGGCCATCACCAGTCACGGAGATATTCATGTTAAGAAATGAGATGGTATGATGTGAAATACAAGACATGTATTGGAGTGATGGGTGAAAGGATTTGATGAACTGAAGAAAAAGATCAAGTTCGTCATCATTGTATGTAACTACGCCAAAAACATCATCAGTATACCTACAATATAAGGATGGGAGGGCACCTGTGTAGTTACGAAACATGCAGTCTTCAATGTAACCAACAAAGAGGTTAGCATAAGAGAGATCTATTTTGTGGTTCCCATGGCTACACCTTTCACTTGTTTATAGATTTTGTTGTCAAAAGAAAAAACATTTAGCGATAGAACTAGTTCAGCTAATTTTATTAAGGTTTCTGTAGGTGGGTCAAGGGGATCCCTTTTTTCAAGGTAGTGTTGTAGGGCTTTTAGTCCATCTTCATGTGGTATGGAGGTATACAGCAATGTTATGTCAAGTGTAAATAAAATAATGGAATCTGATACTGAGTTAAAATTTGAAATTTTTTGTAAGGTGTCATTGGTGTCTTGAATGTAAGTGGGGAGTTGCTGAACTAAGGGAGTTAGGATGGAATCCAGATAACTGGAAATGAGTTCGTTTGGGAAGCTGCAAGTTGAAACTATGGGTCTACCAGGATTATCTGGCTTATGTATCTTAGGCAGAAGATAGAATGCATAAAGTCTTGGGTCTTTGACAATTAAGTTCTTAGCTTCTAATGGAAGTTCATTATTTCTTATTAATAGTTCTATAGCACTACAGACAGTCTGTTGATATTCATCAAGAGGAGTGTTATCACACATAGCACAGGATGATTGGTCTGATAGTTGTCGGTGAGCTTCCTGAAGATAAAGTTCTTTTTTCCAAACAGCCACTGCTCCTCCTTTGTCAGCATGTTTTATTACAATATCATCATGGAAATGAAGATTATGTTGAGCTGTTTCTTCGTCTCTAGTAAAGTTTCTAAGAGACGTCGTAGTTATGTAATCTAAGTTGTAAATTTCCTTTCTACATTTTTCTATGTAGTAATCTAGAGGAAGAAATTTACCAGGTGGGGTGTCCATGTGCTGGTTTGTTTCTGTACCTGAGATAGAATAAGATTAATACATTTCTTGCAATTCCACAGAGGTCAATGGTAAAAATATTTTCTAGAATTAGGGTTTTTGTCATGATTTTCCTCTGTTTTCATCAATCTAGATGAGAACTTGCACAAAATTATATATATGTATGAAAATAAAATATATCCTGTTGGGTGGTATAATTTCTGTCTCTTTGGTACAATTTGAGAAGATTTTCATAGCTAATTTATATTTTACAGATTATGAAATAAAGTGAAAATTTTATAACGTAAAATTTTACTACTTCTTCGTTCATTATTTAATCATATTTCATTGATGTGATGCTGTTATTAGAAACAAACTGGTTAAAATCTCTTCCTGTTCAATCTTAAGGAAAAGCAACAACCCATATTTGAATGTTTTTGTAATGTTGTGATTACTGCTTTAGCTTTCACTCTCCAATGTTTTATATAAAATCAAAAAAATATAAAAAGCCAATTATTATAAATTAGTAAGTATTTGAAAATACCATTGTGTGTAAGAATATGTTTTTATTTAAGTCTATTTATGAAAACAGTTGATTTTCATAAGTTGCATAAAAGAAAAATTATGAAGATACAAATATACGTTTGCTTTCTCGTGATAACTGTTTATTTACATTTGAATATAAGCTAGCAGATTGCACTTTCTAAAACTACATTGTTATAGGTCTTTCTGTAGTAAGTAAAATACCAGTTATTTTGAAATATTTTCAATCAAATGATAGTTCAGTCTTTAGAACCCCCCACAGCACAGTACTGTTCTTAGGTAAAAGAAAAGGAGTCCAAAATGGAAATAGATATTGAAACACTGAATAAAATGGGTATGAAATGCAAATGTTATGGGATTTCTCCCTCTCTTTTGTATTAACATTAATTGCACTAATGTAAAATCTCGTATAGTTAAACTGTGATTAACTTGTCATCCAATCAAACGGGTTGGTTGTTTTTCAGGTTTAATGGTGGAAGTCACCTGGGCTATCTGTGCTAAACAGTTTATTAATAAGAAAAAAATCAAAAAAAGAAACTTAAAATGTGAAAAAAAATATAGAAAAAATAAAATAATAGAACTAAATGTGTCAATATTTTTTATGAAACAAAGTAAAAAATTAAATAGAATTAAAAAGGCCAATGGCCCATAAAAAAAGAAGCTAAAACACAATCAATCTAGACAGAGTCACCATTGCCAATGACTGTCCAGTGTCAAAGGTGAAAAAATGTCTAAAATGGTGTATCTTCTGACAGTCGAAGCAATAGCATGAAAGTAAAATGTTGACAGTTGTGACTTCAGTGTCACAATGGCCACAGAATGGCAGATCTGTTCCTTGTAAAAGAAACAATGAGTAGTGAAACTTTGGCCAATGTGTAGTCTAAGACACAAAGCTTTTTATTATATTGCTCACTCCGAATTGACTGCCAACTGGCGTGAAGCTGTGCCTAGATGACAGGTCTGAAGTCCACAAAATAGATGTGCATGGACTATGCCATAGCTCAGGGGTTGGCAACCTGTGCCTCTTTAAGGAGATTTGTGCAGCTTTTGGCTTTACTCTCACTGTGAAGAAAAGTTGAGAATCTTTCAGGCACAATGGGGAATTGAACCCCTGATTTTACTGTTGTAAATCCAGAGCCTTACCACTGTCCCAATGGGGGACCTTTTTTAGATTGTTAGGACATTGTGGCTCTCAAAATGATTTGGTCCCAGACAGAAAAAAAAATGGCTCTTCTTCTTTGAAGAGTTACTGACCCCTGTCATAGCAGTTGGATTTAACTGCAGTGTCAGTAAGCTTGTTCTCATGAACACTAACATTTCTAAAAAATCCAGAAAAATCAAATAGAGATGGATGAGAAAGAGAAATTGACCAGTAATTTCCATATATCCAAAAGAACTGGGTGAGAACTCACATTAAGTGATTCCAGAGCCTTCAAAGAACTAAATGAGTCAAAATAGATAGTACAGTTAGTGTAATGCTTAGCTTTGACATGATCTGAGACAAATGAAATAGCATACAACTCGACAGTGAACATATAATCTGTAGAGGGGATCATGTGAGCAACCACTAAGCCATAGCAAACTATGGCAGAGCCTATAGGATCACCAGATTTTGAACCATCTATAAAAAAAAAAGAAACAGAAGAATGGTTCAAAAGATGTTCAGCAAAGAGAAGATGGTACTTCCATTTAGGAGTATCCGAACTCATCAGATGACTCAAAGAAAGGTTGTAAGTAGAAATTGTAACAAGCCATGGTGGAATGGGCTGATAATTGGTCTTAACAGTATCATCCAATATTAGACTCAATTCCCTTGACCTTGCCTGGATGCAAAGGCTATAAGGACGATTGGCAGAATGCCTATTTCCAAAGAACACAGTCTATTGAGACATGAAGACACAATGCCAGATGTGATGCTGTGGTAAGGATCAGAGTCTTGCAGCATATTGCAAAGAAAGTTGCAAAGCCCCCACGTTAAGCCAAAGCCCCTGATGATGTACAGGGTCCAACATATTCAAGGCAGAGTCCCAGGCTGAACTATAGATCATAGATCCACAGTTCAGTTTGATCAAATGAAGGCATGATAGATCTTGAGCACAAAATGTCTATCTACTCCACAAAATGTGGAAGAGAGGATGTTCAGAGCTCTTGTATACTTGACACAAAGCTGCTTATTGTGTGGCATAAATGTTAGCTTACGGTGAAAAAGAAGTCCTATAGCTCTGGATCAGTATGCAATCCCATGTGTTGAACAAAATGTACACAAGCTGTCTTAGATTATGAGAAGGTGAAACTGTTTGCTGTAGTCTGAAGATGTTGCTTAATAAACCTCGTAATCGATGTCCAACAGGAAACCTAAAAGGCTGTTTGCAACTGAAGGAGGAAGTCATTCAGTGATAGCATTGGTCTTAATACTGAAAAGTGTGACATTCAAGACACATACCTAAGGGGCTTCAAGTTCCTATGAAGGATTGGGACAATGTTGAACCCACACAGACTTGGAATGACCTGTCATTTAAATAGTTAAAAATAAAAATGGGTAAATGTCTGTGTAATCCATAGGAATAAAGGTCTTGTAATGTGCCATACCTCCATGTAGTGTCTTAAGCCTTCTCAAGATCAATACAAGATGCTCCCTCTTGGGAAGTGCTTCCCTGATCAAAGTTTCTAGTCAAATCAGGTGGTCCATGGTGGAGCACTGTCTATGGAAGCCACACAAAGTGGGTGATAGGAAATTGTATGATTCCAGGAACTAAAGAAGACGAGCATTAACCATCCTCTCCAAAACCTTGCAGAGACAGCTTATCAGAGCAATTGGTCTATAATTAGAAAGAATCTTGGTATCCTTTTCAGGCTTTCCACACCTGTTAGCAGTCAGGGGGTTCACTATACATGAGAATACTGTGGATCATATAAACAGCTGCTTGAGCAATATAATCAGTTACTGCCCCCATGCAATTGTTATTAGTGGGGAGAGGAATAAGGTACACTAGTCAATGATATTGACTGCAGGCTGCAGATATTTGTTATTTCTTTATAATTAAGATGCAAATAAAAATCTACATGTATGCTGTATTGATTTATAGCCTTTGAAGTTTTTCGTTTGTGTTTATAAGGTGCATTAAAATATTTATTCAATGTTTTCAAATATGGTGTTACTTTGTGCAAAAATAACCATCTGAATTTTTTTTTTTTTATTCATAGAACTTTCCCACAAAATTAGGTGAAATCCTGATATATTTAATAATAGTTTTAATATCATTTTTATGTTGAATGTGATTTTTCTGACTTTTTATTTGTATTTTTCAGATTCACCTGAGAATCTCATTGCTACTATAGTAGTGTTTCTATTTATTGTACCATTAGTCTTGGGCATAGTTGTTTATGTTTGGTGTTTCCGATGTTTCAAGAAGAAGCATCAGGTTGATCAAGTACCTCTTGTGGATGATATGGAAAGCAGAGTCACTGGAACATCTTCTAACATGGGAAGAACTACAGGAAGTAACCAGTCCTCTCCAGGGAACCACCAGAGCTCTTCTTTGCGAGTTGAGTTTAGATCTCCTAGGTATCACTTTCCAGAAGATGTTGTGATTGAAAATTCTTCAGCAAGAGCTTACCCACAAGAAAAGCAGGCAGCAGTTTAGAAACTTGTGGTTTAAAGTATATATGTGTGTTAAGGCAGCTAACTAGTTTGTTTTTGTTTTAGTATATAATGCTTTATGTGAAGTCGCCTATGTCATAGGGAAATAAAGAAAAAACTAGTATGAAAATCATTTATACTAGTTTCAAGAGTACCATTATCTTTTCTATAGGGTAACTGAACATGAAAATGTGTAATATTTTAACAAAAAGTTAATTCCTTAGATTTGATAACTTGGGGTGTCATGATTACTCAGATAAATGGTTAGAGCTTAGTTCAAGGGCAAAATCAGTTCAAACTTTTTTAATCAGGACTCAAAACATTGATTCTTGGTATATTGTATATCTAGTTTTATTTATACCACTACAAATTCAATTGTAGTTGAAATTCATTTGCTTGACCTTAAGTTGCTTTACATGAGAGAAGAAATTACATAAACAGAGCGTGTGTGAGGATTTACTTCCTGTCTTATTTTAAACCTAAAAGCCAAGGCAGTAATCTTAATATGTCAGCTCATACTGAAATAGAGGACTGATTTAATAATCTATTCACTTTTTAACCCTTTCAGCATGGGTGGATGTGATTACCATCCGCTCGATTAGGGAAGACATTTATGCAACAAAAATATGGTAACTTTGTGCATTCCTCACAAAAACTGGTAAGATTTGGTTAAAGTTTATAAATATCATGTATACAAAATGACATTAATTTAATTACATTTTTCTAATAAAAATGTTATTTGTCTGTAGTAGTTATTTGCACTCAAATTGTGAATAGTTTGAGTGTATGGTGATTTTCATTTTAAGTATAAAAAAAATACTTTTCTTTATCTTATAGTTTTTATATTTCATTTGCATAACCTCTAGAATCTCCTAAATGAATATCAAAAGTTTTTAAAGTTAAATGTTTATATATTATTTTCCATTTTCTCAATCATATCACTAACTAGCTATTATCATCAATGTACAGTGCAAAGAAATGATTAAAACTAGGAAATAAAATTTAGATAACATAAAACTTCAAATCTTAACATATAATATAACACCAACTTCATTCACATACATTGATAATTCAAAATTTAATTAATGCAGTGACTTGCCAGAAAAGTTTTTAAAAGGGGTACTCGTTGCGAAAGGGCTAACTCTTTGCATATGGCTGGGTAAAAGTGTGCATGTCATGACTTTTTATAGAGTTAGATTAAAAAATGAATTAAGCAACTTTAATATTAATGTATGTCAATAAACTTGGTATAAAAATACAGTTTATAATTTAGATATTTATATTATCTAAGTTTTAATTTTAATTTCAAAAGGAATTGTTTAAAAAATTCTCAATGTTTGCTTCTTTGTATCACTTTGAATTCTTTCATTTAGATTTTGTATTTTCTAGGATATGCCTTTCAATGTGTTCAACTAATTAGAAACACATCCTATGCATAATTAAAAGCATGAATATAAAATTTGAACTTCCTACCTTCTAGAATTGCAGAGATATCAATATATGTGCCAGTGAAGCCCCTCCCATGTGTCCTGTGTTTTAAGATATATATGTATATCATCCTTACATTTCTGGCAGACATGTTTATAACCTATAGAATGAGCAGGTTCACCTCTACATGAAACTTATTATATTTTTTCTGTTTGGCATGCTTATAGTTGATCTTAGATTTTTTGTTTGTGATTGTTGTTGTTCGACTCTGATCAGCTGAGAGAATATTTTTAATCTATTTATAGCTTACTTTGAAAACTAGATATAGTAGTTTGGGAACATTCTATTTTGGTGACTGACATATTTTTTTTGTGTTTTAAAATGTGTACTTGAAAGCTAAGTGATTTGTTTTTGGACATCAAACTTGATAGACTCAACATGGCTTACCAAGCATGTCTTCTCAAGTGCAAAATCTGAGTCGATTTTTGTTGTTGTTATTAAATGTAGTTTTTATCTATTTTTTTAAACAAGTATGTATGTTAATGAAGCCACACAATTAAAAAAAAAGCAGGTGAAAAGGTTAGAAGATAAATAATTGCAATTTTCTGTTACAATCAGTAGTCATTCTAGGAAAAAAATAATGGTATTATTCATTTTATTTCACATTTTTCGAATTTTTTTTCACTGTACATTGATGATTTCATTACAGTTAGTATTAGGGATGAGAAAATAAGAGATAGAATATAGCTTTACCAAAATTAAAAACTACTTTTGATATTCATTCAGAAGGTCTAGACTGATTTAGTAAAGGCTTCATAAATTCACAGACAAATCTTTAGTAAAAATACTTTATTTAAAAAATCTGATTTTTTTGTTTACAATGCTCTTCTAATGTTTACTAAATGCTTGCCAAGTTTGGTGAAGATACACTAAGTACATTCAGAGTTATAGTATATATAGTATATCTAATTTCATGGTTACAGGTGGTTACATGGATCAAGCCCATATACAGAGGGTTAACATATGGGTAAATAATCCAAACTCGACACAAAGGAAACATGGGTTTAAGTAATCCTATGATCTGTGTCAGCTCAACAACGTGACTTTTACAGTACTTGAATTTATAGATGCTTAACTCAAACCAGTTAATCAGTTCAAGCACATGACTAACTGCTAAAAACATTTAAAACCATGACACCTCTAATAATAATTTTTTTTGTCTTCATATTTGTTTAAAATACTGACTCATTTCATAGTACTGTGAACTGCATATTATTTTGAGTATCCAAGGTGTTTTAGTGTATTTGTTATGGAAACTGTAGGATATTGATACTTATTGTTGGTTCGTTTTCAACATCACATGTATTGTCTGATTCAGTACTGATTCATCCAAAATAACAACTTTTAATTCTGCAAATAAAGGTATAACTCATTTTTAATATTTTAGATATATAGTACATTTAAGTGAAAGGAAATTTTAGATACATGTAGTTTACATTAAATCTAAAATAAAATAACATATATATATATATATATATATATGGCATTTTACAAAATTACTGTAGTTATTGATACACATGTCCAATCATCACTTAATACTATAATTACCATATATCTTAAAAGTAAATTCAGCATTACACTTTTTGTATTTAATACTGAGTTACAAGGAAATTAGTTATTATTAGGGTTACTAAAACAAGTTTAGGAACACTTAAAATCAAGATAAGCTTAGTCCAACATCACGTATATTACAGGAACATGATGAGGTTCCTGTGTTGTACTTGATATAGCCTGCTTTCAGTGAAGGTTTTTAGTAATGTACACTCCTGAAGCACTTAGAATCATAGTAAAAATGTGGTCATGCTACAACTATTTTGAAGTTAATTAATGTTCAAGTTTCAAAGTATTGAGTAATGAACATAGAAACATGAGTATATCTGTACAATGTAATTTAAAAGTAGTGACCATTAGAGAAAGAACTTTGGTTTTCTCAGGTTACAAAACATTCTAGTTTGATTTCATTAAACTACAGTTTATGATCACACTTGTATGCTTAGTGATAAATGTAGTCTCCCCATAACTCATAATACTTGTGATTACATTGATATGTCAGTGTGTTTGTTAGAACTAAATATGTAAAATATATTTTATCACTATAGTGAAAATATTTACACAGATATTTTGAAGAATAACAGCTTTTGTGGTTGTACAGTTTGGTACAAATATATTTTAACCGTTCAATGTGCCTTGTCATAAAAGACTTGGATATCCGCTCTAGGAAAACAACTCATTCACAGGGATTATTATTGCTTAAATATTTCTGTTTTGACTAAGAATAACAGAATTCCACATTTTCTCATGTATTTAATGTTAAAATATATAGTATTTTGTTAGGCATGTGTGCAATACATATTTTTTTTTAATTCTAATAGTATATTAATGAAACTCCGTTTGTATTCTGGTTAAGCTAGCTTACTGTTAGATGAAAACAAACTGTACACTACTTTACATATTTTGTGGTATAATAATTTGTATACAAAATAAAATTAATAGTTCAAGTATTAGAAAGCTGTCACAATAAAGTTTTCTCATAACAAAAAAGTACCATAATGTCACGTTTGTGAAGTAAATTCAATATATACATTTTGTGGGTGAATAATAGCTGACTTATGGTTTATCAATATCTAAGTGTTGGTTTAAGAGCCTGTAATATTTTTATATTCTACTTCACAAAAAATAAAGGTATTAGAAATTATATTTCTATTTTATGCAAATAGTGTACCATCTGTGACACTTGCCAACTTCAGAACTTAAGCTTAAGAATTTTGATAACTCGTAGTTAATACCATATTTTTCATGCTCAGTTAAGTGGTCATGAAGCTATGTTTTGTATATTTTCCCAATCTTTAGTTTTGATTTCAAATCAAATTTTTGTTAATTATGTGAAATCTCATATTTAAACGTGATCTCATCAGTCTCTTTTTTTTTATTTTATTCACAAGGTGCAACGCCAAAGAACATTGTGCCATATAATTTAAATTGCAGAAACCCATTGGTTTATTACTTGGTTATTGGTTGTGATGTTTCTTCTCTTTAGTACAAAGCATTAATTACTTTATGTTTTATGAAATCCTTTTTATATACGTGCTTCTTTGTTTTTTACACGTTTAATTTTTTTATATTAATGTGTTAAACCAAATTTCAGTTGATGTTTCAGAGTTTGAAATATAATTTTGTTGTTTGTGGACTTTTAACTACTCTGTTTTTTCTTTAGTTACAGACTTGGAATTTTGTTTAGTTACATTAATGTAAAATTCTGTTAATGTATCTTATCTGTCATAAAAGTATGTTATTTAATTTTAATAACCTATTCTAGATGAAAGTAAAATATTGAATTATTTTACTAATGGCATGCAGTGAAATTTTAGACAAATACTCAAATGAGATTTTTTTTTCAAACAGTGCAAAAATGCTAAGGCAAAAATAATCTCAACACCTAAAAACACAAAACAAGATAACGTTGTTTCATGAATGAAAGTTATGATGAATTGACTTAAACATCTGGGAATCTCACAGTAGTTTTTGATATAATAAGGTCAGGTACGTTATAGTAAATGCTAAAACAAAAAAATCCTGAACTTGATTAACATGACTTTTAGGTGTATTTTCTGTATAATTGAAATGTGTACAAATGACAGTAATTTTTAAAAATCAAACTATATTTTTAGATCTTGGAGAGTACCGAGCTAACTTTGGTATTGTGAATTTTTATTTTGTTACGAAAAATTTACAATAATTAAAAATTTTACTCATATTTGTTCTTATGACAAAAGTTAATGAAAATAACTCTGTAAAACTTTCAAAGTATTATATAAAGTGATTGTATACATGTTATAGTGTTGAGAAATTTAGTGATTTATGTTACAGTTTTGACTTCCTTGTTACAAAAAACATCATAATTCAAAACGATAAGTAGTATATAATCATCCAATATTAGAGAACGTTTTGCTATTTAATTAATTCACAGCAATATGTATGTAACATACATTTGAACAAATCAAAATAGTTAAGTTATTATTCTGTCTTTTGTCACATTGGAGTCATGTTTTTTATTATGAAAGAATTAAATACTGTAATCAACAACCTTAAATTTTATAAATGAAAAGAACCTGTTATGACATTAATTTTGTGCTGCAACACCCAATGAGATTTTTGTGTTCAGAAACAACTCTTGTATTTATTACTACATTAACAAGACAGGTGAAGT